TGTGTGTCTGTGTGTCTGTGTGTCTGTGTGTCTGTGTGTCTGTGTGTCTGTGTGTCTGTTTGTCTGTGTGTCTGTGTGTCTGTGTGTCTGTTTGTCTGTGTGTCTGTGTGTCTGTGTGTCTGTGTGTCTGTGTGTCTGTGTGTCTGTGTGTCTGTGTGTCTGTGTGTCTGTGTGTCTGTGTGTCTGTGTGTCTGTGTGTCTGTGTGTCTGTGTGTCTGTGTGTCTGTGTGTCTGTGTGACTGTGTGTCTGTGTGACTGTGTGTCTGTGTGTCTGTGTGTCTGTGTGTCTGTGTGTCTGTGTGTCTGTGTGTATGTGTGTCTGTGTGTCTGTGTGTCTGTGTGTCTGTGTGTCTGTGTGTCTGTGTGTCTGTGTGTGTCTGTGTGTGTGTCTGTGTGTCTGTGTGTCTGTGTGTCTGTGTGTCTGTGTGTCTGTGTGTGTGTCTGTGTGTCTGTGTGTCTGTGTGTCTGTGTGTCTGTGTGTCTGTGTGTCTGTGTGTCTGTGTGTCTGTGTGTCTGTGTGTCTGTGTGTCTGTGTGTCTGTGTGTCTGTGTGTCTGTGTGTCTGTGTGTCTGTGTGTCTGTGTGTCTGTGTCTCTGTGTCTCTGTGTCTCTGTGTCTCTGTGTCTCTGTGTCTCTGTGTCTGTGTCTCTGTGTCTCTGTGTCTCTGTGTCTCTGTGTCTCTGTGTCTCTGTGTCTCTGTGTCTCTGTGTCTCTGTGTCTCTGTGTCTCTGTGTCTCTGTGTCTCTGTGTCTCTGTGTCTCTGTGTGTCTCTGTGTCTCTGTGTCTCTGTGTCTCTGTGTCTCTGTGTGTCTGTGTGTGTCTGTGTGTGTCTGTGTGTGTCTGTGTGTCTGTGTGTCTGTGTGTGTCTGTGTGTCTGTGTGTCTGTGTGTCTGTGTGTCTGTGTGTCTGTGTCTGTGTCTGTGTCTGTGTCTGTGTCTGTCTGTGTGTCTGTGTCTCTGTGTCTCTGTGTCTCTGTGTCTCTGTGTCTCTGTGTCTCTGTGTCTCTGTTTCTCTCTCTCTCTCTCTGTGTGTGTGTGTGTGTGTGTGTGTTTGTGTTTGTGTTTTTGTTTGTGTTTGTGTTTGTGTTCGTCAGCATGTTTTTGTGTGCGTGTGCATCTACCTGTGAGTGCGCATTTCTGTATGCGAGTGCATGTGCGAGCGGGTGTGCGCGTGTGCACGAGCGGGTGTGCGAGTGAGCAGGTGGGTAGGGTGGGTAGGGTGCGAGTGAGTGAGTGAGAAAGGGAGGGAGGAAGGGAGTGAGTGAGGGAGGGAGGGAGGGAGGGAGGGAGAGTGAGTGAGTGAGTGTGAGTGAGTGAGTGAGAGAGAGAGAGTGAGTGAGTGAGTGAGTGAGTGAGTGAGTGAGTGAGTGAGTGAGTGAGTGAGTGTGTGAAAGTGAAAGTGAAAGTTGAGAGTGAGAGTGAGGGTGAGAGTGAGAGTGAGTTTGAGTGTAAGTGAGCGAGTGAGCGAGTGAGAGAGTGAGCGAGTGAGCGAGGGAGCGAGGGAGCGAGGGAGCGAGGGAGCGAGGGAGCGAGGGAGCGAGGGAGTGAGGGAGCGAGGGAGCGAGGGAGCGAGTGAGCGAGTGAGCGAGTGAGTGAGTGAGTGAGTGAGCGAGTGAGGGAGTGAGCGAGTGAGTGAGTGAGGGAGGGAGGGAGGGAGGGAGGGAGCGAGTGACGGAGGGAGGGAGGGAGGGAGGGAGGGAGGGAGGGAGGGAGGGAGGGAGGGAGAGTGAGTGAGTGAGTGAGTGAGTGAGTGAGTGAGTGAGTGAGGGAGTGAGTGAGTTAGGGAGGAAGGGAGGCATGTAACTTCTGCGCCTTGTGCATCATGCTCCCTGTTGCGCTGTTTGCTGCTTGCTTGCTCTTGCTTGCAGTTCAATCAAAAAAACAACAACACATATTTCAGGATTTCCAGCTTCTGCAGGGCAAATTAACTCATAACTTTAGCGTCTTGCCAGGATAAAGAGGTGCAGAGGCACGGCCGTTGGTGCGACAGAATGCCTTAGCCTCGCCTTTGGAGAGTGCGTACGCCAGATGCGCTGAGACGTTCAGCGCTGGGACGAGGGAAACCTGGGAGGCGTGGCGAACCTGGGAGAATGTGTGTCCTCGGATGGCGGGAGGAATGGCCGACACCAGAGCTCGTGTATGGGCACGCGCTGTCCCAGGGCGACGTCACCTGTTTCTCCCTCAGTTTGGCTGAAGGGAAGGAAGCGTGGTGACGGCTTGTGACAAGGTGAGCTGACCGCAGGCTGAGGGTGGCCAAAACTTCTTGATTGCACTGCTATGTTCAGCACGGCGGTGGCGACCGGCAATGCCGGCGATGCCGTACAGTGTGCTTGTTCTTCACTGGGTGCCAAGAGGGGCAACGGTTTATGAATCGTCCCCCCACGGCTCAAATGGGGCTGGGCACTGATCTAGAAATTGCTCCTGCTTGGCAGAGACCCGCACCTTCATCCCCAGCAGAAACAACTTGATTAACGTTCTGGCTGCGCTGCAGCAGGAGCTATGTCAAGAATTGAATTTGATAGGTGCCGTGGTCAAAACACGTGGGGCAACTCGTGAACACCCTACCTTTCAGAAAAGGCCCAGGGGCTTTGGGGGCAAGATCGTGCCCTAGGGTTTTGATCGTGGCGTGTCAGTGAACATTAGAGTTCAAGTTAGCTCTGCCTGGCGCGCGGGTTGCCAGAGCCAGGCACCTTGTGCCTTGTGTCGCAGGCCGGTGGAGCTCCCGGTGTTAGGCCAAATTCTTAGTTAGCTTTCCGGCTCGGGCATTGCTTCAGGGTGCCTTGGAAGCGTTTGACGGGTTTTCGGGGACTGTTTGGCGAGGGAAGCTCCTTGAGTGGTGTCAGTGACACTGGTCCTTTCAGTGGTGTCAACACAGAGATGCTGGGCTGATTCTCGCCCTTTTTCTGCGAGCAGGAGGCTGCAGGAGCCTGCAGCCAGTGTTCGTTCTGCTCCTTTGCCACTCTTTGCCTGAAGGCACAGAGAGCTGGCGGGTGGCTTTTGTTTCATGGCGTTGCGCCGAGGGAAGGTGCGGCATTTTTGGGGTGGCGCAAGATATTGGCAAGATCCAAGTCCAGAAACCATTCCTGAGAAGGGTTTGGTGCTAAGTCTGAAACGCACTCAGCACGCAAAGGGCAAAGAGTGAATCTCGTGCTTCGGGCCTGCCACCTTTCCCATGGGCTGTCGCAGCACGACGCGCCCTGCTCGTTCACTCGGGCCTGGTGTGCAAGATGCAACCAGGCAGTGCAGTAGGCCGAAAATCGGAAAAGACAGTACTGACGCCAAGGGGCTCGAAGGGGCTGGGCCAAGACGGGCGTGCACGAGCAAGCGTGCAAATGCAAGGTTTTCACGATGCTCTATTACCACCCCTCTTTGAATGAGGTTCTCAAGGACGTTGCGATGCGTGTCATGTCGGTGCCATGTCCGGCTTGGTCAGGACAGCTTCACTGGGACCTCGGACCCAGAGTGCCACAAGCTGGAGGCTTCGGACCGCTTCCACGGACGCTTCCCAGGTATTTGAAGCTCATCTCCGCCAACATCGGGGCGGCGAGAGCCTTTCGCTCAGTGCCCGCGGGGCATCCACGCCTGTGCCCAGGTTGTAATGCCCTGGATGGTTTACTTCCAGCAGAGCGCCATTGTGGCACGGCGCCAGGGCCTTGGAGACTTAGAGGAAATGGGAGCACTAGTTCATAGCATAACTTGTCTGCCAAAAGGGCATTTCATAAACATCAGTCTTTTTTTACATATCAATGGGTACACAACTCTCAATCCAGTGCTATATCATATGCACGCGGTGTGTTGCTGTGTGTGTGCCAGATTGGGATTTGCGTTGAACAAAACGTCCAGGCTTAAAGCTCAAATGTCACAGGCCCTTGCTTGGCATTTAAACGGGATTTCCCGCTACGGGGTCGCTACGGGTGTCGCAGCTGGAGGCTTGCGAAGCCAGTCGCAGTTGGACGAGGCAAATCCGAGCGAGCGGTTTGTGGCGTTCCCGTTTCTTGGCGAGGAGCGGACTGGCACGCTGCTCGGCAGCTTCCTGACGCAACTCATCATGATTGGAGCGCCTGGCCGCCTGGAGTGCCTTGATGTTTGTGGTCTCTTGGTTCCCAGGCATCGTCTTTTTCGCCTGGCACCCGGCCAGGCTGGTGACCCTTGCGGCAGCCCACTCCGTGAGCCGCGACCTCCGCAACACTGAGGAGGGCTCGGCTAGACTCGGCCCGACTCGAGTTCAGTGCCCATGAAGGACATCGTGCGTGCATTGGCTCCAGCTTTTGGTGTCTTCTGGCATCGCGCTGAGTTGAATGCTAGTTTGCTTGGGGGAAGCCGAACGTGTGGCAAAGGGACGTGAACAGAGCCAACTCAGCAGACACTGCATTTTGGAGTTTCGAGGTCAAAGATCCTCATCTCCTTTGCCTTTCTTGGCGGATCGCTGTGTGCAGCTTTTGTCGCTGCTTTGCTCAGTCTTGTTCTGCCTTGTTCCAATGTCTGAGAGCGAGATAATTAGGGTCGCATGGTCATATCAAGAGAGGCTGACTGACAGATGCCCGCGGCCAAAGGTTGCTTTGGCTGCAACCTGGGCTTTGTGTGAGGCCTGGTTTGGCGGCTCCCGAATTTTTCCCCTCCCTAAATGGGCCTGCTTCTCCGTCCAGGCGGCAAACCTCGAGGATGCCTTTGCCTTGGAGCAGTCGCCCACCGAGGAAGCTTTGCGAGTGCAAGTGCTGCAATATGCCCAGCCAAGCCGCGTCAGCACTGCTTTGCATACATTCTATCTTTAGGCATATAGGCAAACACATCCACGGATTTGTCCAATGACATCTGAAAGTGGTTGGTGCTTCGCATCATTGGCCAGGCGCCGTTCTTCTACGGCAGCTTTTTGATGGTTGCGGGTGCCTCAGGCTTGTGCGGAGCAAACATGCGTGGCTGGCTTGTCCCCCCCTGTGGATAGTTGAAGAAGCTAGTCGCACATTCGAATTCCTTATTTGCCATCCCCCAGCTCGCAGAGAGTGGATACAGCGCCTTACGAAAATGGTGCGCCTGCCACGAAATCTGCATACGACCTTACGAAAATGCTGTGCCTGCCACGAAATCTATACTTAACCTTATGAAAATGCTATGCCTGCCACGCACCCGTTACGGAACCATTCCGGGACCGCCTCCGTACAAGCATCGCAGCCGGGGTGGCTTGCGCATTGTCCGGAAACTAAATATCTTATCATCCCCCAGTTCGCAAAAAGTGGATACAACGCCTTACGAAAGTGCTATGCCTACCACGAAATCTATATTCGACCTTACGAAAATACTATACCTACCATAAAATCTACACTTAACCTTACGAAAATAATACACCTACCACTCAATTCAAACCTTACAAAATCTTCGTACAACCGTGCCAATAGGCCCGGTTGGGTTCATGTCAACTGGAAAAGTAAGGATTGTTGGAGGGGATTTACTGTTCATAAATCCGGCAGGAGAGTTCCAAGAAAAAAAGGATCCGCCCTTCGGGTGAGGGGCATTCTGATAGGTCTTGCTGGGTGCCCTGGTGCTGCTCTCCGGGGTGAACACTGTGAAGCTCAACGTTGCCGTGGAGCTCCTGGACCGGCTGAATGAATCAGAATGACTCACACGGAAGGAAGCCGCAAAACGACCCGAGGGCAAAGGCTGGGGGAAACCAAGGATAGAGGGGGGAAGCTGATGGAGGAAGGTGAAGCCGTTTCAAGCAAGGGGAACGCCCTTGGTGAAAATTCTGAAACGTGCGCTTGAGCCCGCAGGATGGCATTCTGATGCCCGTGGCGGTGGGCTTCCTGTGCGACGGGTTGAAGGGCTGAATGGTAGGGTTGAAGGGCTGAAGTCGCGGCAGTTTGGGGGGGGCTTGGCAGTTTGCAGCGTCGCGGACTCGTTTCCTGCTTGTCTCCTTGCTCACTCCAGAGGTATTTGCTGGCCATCAGCCCCGTGCTTCCAGAGCCAGCAGCTGCCTGATGTGATTTGCAGGCTGCACATCAAAGGAGACTGTGCTGCTGAGGTGCGAGTGAAAGGTCTCTACAAATGGGTCCTGGGTGTCGTGTTCTCTCTGGTTGCCTTCGTGTCGCTTCTTGGCGGGCATGGCTGACCCTGGCCAAGACTTTCGGAAAGATGAAAGCCAGGGTTGTTGCAAAGCGCTGGTGCAGAGTTCTGCTAACTAGCATGGCGCTGCGTGGCGGAGTGCTGTTGGAGGGTATGACATTGCAAACGTGCAGCTACACAAAAGATGCGCATTGAAGGTTGTAGCCATGGGTCTGGTATTGTTATGAGCCTTCACACTTGTCCAGCACCCATTGCTTGATACTCGTTGCTTGGCACCCAACTAGGTGATTTGCTTGTTATTCGGATTCTATGCATGTGTAATTTGGCAGCCCGAGGCTTTCGAGTGCACTGGCAGGCTTGCTGGGTCATGAACTCCTTTCTACGACGTGAGACAGCCGCCAACGCGGCCTTGTACTTCAAGCAGAGCGCATGAGCCAGCTTGATGGTGCTCTAGATCCAAAAAGGGCCCGGTCGTACCCTGCACAGCTGCCTGCATGTGCCAGGCGCGTTGCGCTTTGCATGTTTGTCCCTCCTGGCCGCAGTTTGGACAGAGTGAACGATGACAGAAGCGTTTCATTTTGCAGAGCCCCTCCCTAAACGCCGTCGTGCTTTGCTTTACAGGTTCCCAACGAGATGGCCCACCTGCCCGGGTGGCTGCCTGGGTGACGCCGCTTTTTCTCATGGGCGAGGTCCGTGATGAGGCGTGGACATTTGAAGCGTGTGACTCGGCTTTTGGATTGAAGCGTTGCATGTCCAAGTTTCGGATCCGCGTTTCGAAGGCATGGCCCGCAGTGGCGCGCCCGGGGCGCCCATCGGGCGGGCCGGCGGGTGGCGTCAGACCTTGGTGTTGTGCCTTGGATGACGGGGAGGAAGGGATTGTATTACATTCTTTTATTTACAAGATGATTTTTGTGTACATTGACATACTATATGTCACAATGAGTTCGTGGTGGCATGATGACACCGGCAAAACGTGGTTGCTGGGGGAGGGAACAGGTCCCATTTGAGGGGCAAGACATACAGTCAACAGATGATGCAGACCTTGCAATGCAAATTGTCGCCCGAAAGAGCTGGGAGCTGTTCGACAGGGGCAATGCTTTTTTGGAATGACTGGTCGCATGCAAAGGACACATGATGGCTGTGAATGATTCGAATTGTAAAAGTGTAAAAGTTGGAAACCACCTCCGAAGTGGTTGGCGGACAGCCAAAGGAATCCATTAATTTCATATCGAAATCAACGGACAAAGGCTGACAGAACTGACAAATATACATAGCGCAACCAAACTGCGAAAGAATAGGACACCACAAGCTCGAGTCGCTACATTGCAACGGACATGCAGAGATCGCATGGAAGGCAACACGACTGCAGGCCGTCAGGTCCCAAGCACATGCAGCTGCATAAATTCACTGCACGGGGGTGGCGCACGAGCGCGCGCGCGCGCGCCAGCGTGATAGGCCCGAGAAGAGCAAGACTGTGGCACTGTGGGCGCGCCAAGTTGGGGGCCTGCAGCTCACTCCTTTGAAAACCTCAATCACAAACAGCGCACGCAGCACAGGCTGCACGGGACTTGGAGGCTTCAAGAGTCTGCTTCTGTGCTACTTGGAAAAGCGACGCGCCTGAGCTGGTACCACAGCAGCAGGCCAGTCGGCAGCAGATTGCTACAAGCAGAAAGGCGCGTGAGTCAGAGGCAAGAAGATGGTGCTGGATAATTGCATCGTAGGAAGGGCGCTGTTCCACAATGGGAGCACGTGGTACCAGCATCTGAACTGGGCACGCTGGCTGAAGGGCAGCAAAAAGAAATGACCGGACAAAGCGAAGTAGCAAGCGCAGGATGTCTTCTGTGGATGTGGAGGTAGGCCAGGGACCAAGGATGGGGAAGACCCCTTGCAAGAGGCAAGACAGGAAGCAAGGTCAACACACGGACAGTACACCTATTGGACGCACACTTCCGAAGGATTGGCAGCGGAGCAGACAGGGACAGCGGCGGACAGTGTGGGGTCGCAGAAACGCTGCCACCAGGAAACAACGTCCGCCAAAGGGCAATGAAGTCAGCTCCTGCGCGTGCTGCGTGTCCACAGACAAGACAGAGGCGCAGAAGCGCCGACCACCAAAATTTAGATATACACACACACATATATATATGCTCACCCCCCCCCCCCCAGGGCCTACCTTTTCACTTGCACAGTCTAGAAAACTGATAATTTCAACAGTAGGGGGTGAGCATATATATATATATAAATATGTACATTTTTCTTTGATGTTAGACACAGTTTCCTTTATATATTACTCTGCTGCTAGAAGCTCAAACCAGGTCATTCAAAGTATCTCTTTTTTTCTTGTAGCAATGATGTCAGAAGCCAGTGAAATCTTTCTGGAAACGGCCCTGAATGCCACCAACGCGCTCTTCCTCAAGAACTTGTCCAAGCCCAATGTCGTGGACTTGCCTCGTGGTCCTGTCTCGCCTACTGACCTTCCTCTTGATCATCCCAAGGACAAGAGCAAGGCAAAGCACTTCTTCGACTTTGTTGGCCCTATAGCCTTCGATGCTACTTTGCAATCTCAAGTCAGCAGCGCGGCTAAGGATGGCCGCTTTGCGGACATGCCAGCGCCCTTTCGCTTGAAGACTTCTCCTGGTATGTCATATGGTCTTCAACTTGTTGTTCTTCCTCTTCCTAATGCGCAGCACTTCCTCCTGAAGCACATCATCTTCCCGGATCTTGCAGCAGTAGGCCCGAGACGCTTATAGAAACTTCTGGAAAGTTTTGCAGCACGATGCTTCTGTGAAAAAGCTCAGCAATCCAATCTGTCTTCCATTCTTCAGAAACAAGTAAAGGATTTGTTTTTTTTTTGTGATTTTTTGGAGCCTGTGCAGGTTTTAAGCGCCCAAGGCTCCAAAACCTGCACAGGCTCAAAAAATGCAAAAAATCCAAACCTGGAAGCCCCAAAACCTGCACAGGCTCAAAAAAATGCGAAAAATGAAAAAAGCCAGACCAATCAAGCCCTGACCTCTGACATTGCATCTGGGTTTTGCATTTGTTGCATGTCTTGAGCCTGTGCAGGTTTTGGAGCTTTCAGGCTTGGATTTTTTGCATTTTTTTGAGCCTGTGCAGGTTTTAAGCACCCAAGGCTCCAAAACCTGCACAGGCTCCAAAAAAATGCAAAAAATCCAAACCTGGACGCCTCAAAACCTGCACAGGCTCCAAAAAATGCAAAAAATGCAAAAGTCCAGACCACTCAAGCCCTGACCTCTGACATTGCATCTGGGTTTTGCATTTGCATTTTTTTGAGCCTGTGCAGGTTTTGGAGCTTTCAGGTTTGGATTTTTTGCATTTTTTTGAGCCTGTGCAGGTTTTAAGCACCCAAGGCTCCAAAACCTGCACAGGCTCAAAAAAATGCAAAAAATCCAAACCTGGACGCCTCAAAACCTGCACAGGCTCCAAAAAATGCAAAAAATGCAAAAGTCCAGACCACTCAAGCCCTGACCTCTGACATTGCATCTGGGTTTTGCATTTTTTGCATTTTTTTGAGCCTGTGCAGGTTTTGGAGCTTCCAGGTTTGGATTTTTTGCATTTTTTTGAGCCTGTGCAGGTTTTAAACATCCAAGGCTGCATAGGCTCAAAAAATGCAAAAAATGCAAAAGTCCAGACCAATCAAGCCCTGACCTCTGACATTGCATCTGGGATTTGCATTTTTTGCATTTTTTTGAGCCTGTGCAGGTTTTAAACATCCAAGGCTCCAAAACCTGCACAGGCTCAAACAAAATGCAACAAATGCAAAAGTCCAGGCCAATCAAGCCCTGACCTCTGACATTGTATCTGGGTTTTGCATTTTTTGCATTTTTTTGAGTCTGTGCAGGTTTTGGAGCTTCCAGGTTTGGATTTTTTGCAATTTTTTGAGCCTGTGCAGGTTTTGAGGCTGAAACCATCAAAAAACGTAAGAAACAGGTGCTTTTTTGCAGTTTCCTTCAAAATCACTGCAAATACCAGTGTTTTTAACACTGACAAAGTTGCATCTGAAAACGCTTTCCGTTTTCGTGTTTGTTGCTTTCTCGAATCCTGTTTTGCATCAAGTATAGAAAGCACATCTGAGACAATATCAAACAATGCACAAAAACACCGTAAATTACAGTGCTTTCTGCAAGGCATCTGCAAACCAAGTGGACACTGAACATCTGCAAATAAATCTCTTTCATGCAAAAAGTGGAAAGGTAGGCCCTGGGGGGGGGGGTGACCATATATATATAAACCTAGCTACCTAGTCTTTCTCTCTAGTTGTCGCTCTATCTATTTGTCTATCCATCCATCCATCTATTTACTCTGGTATCTACTATCCACTTATCTATCTTTATATCAATCTACCTACCGACCTACTTGCCTACCTAGCACTCTGCCAGTAGCTTTGCAGTGCTCCGGGAGTGTTGTGCCTGCCACGAAATCTGTACCTGGCCTTGCGATTGCCAGTCACACTTCCTTGCCAATTGGATGTGCGACGCGTCCGGTCCAGCGTTGCCAAAGTGCTGCGCATGTCACGAAATCGCAGCCTGCCATGGAACCTGCACAGGCTGCCAAAGTGTTGGCCTGTCACGACATCTATCCAACAAAGTGCCCCGCCTGCCACGCAATCTGTATCTCGGGTTGCCGAAGTGCTCCTCCTTTCAGGCAGCCGTGCCAATGGTCCCGGGTCCTATGCCGTTCCGAGCCCGTTCCGACCCCGTTTTGACAGGCGTCGTGACCATCTTGGTTTGCGCTTTGTTGCATTATGTTATCGCGCCTTTTGTTATGTTGCGTAATTTTAAGGATGTTATGTTTGTTTTTTCTTCCCTTAACCTACCTACTGAAATTTGCTAGGAAGCTCCAAGATGGTGCTTCTGCGTCTTCTTCTTCTTCTGTTGTGTTTTGTTTTGTTTTTATGTGTGTTGTTTGTTTGTGTCAAGCAGCTTGCTTGCTGTTTTCCTGCCACGAAACTACTAAGTTGCTAGTTGCTAGGCTGGGCTTAGCTTCCGCGCCACAGGCTGGAGGAAAAGCAAGGCGCACCCGACCTCTACGCCCAGAGCGCTGCGATCAGTGCATGCGAGAAGGGGAAGCAGTGGCAGCAGGCCCAGCCGAGTAGCGGGCTCTTTTCTGCCACCGGATCAAGGGACATCTGTTTGGGAATGCAGCTTCTCCCTTCGGGCGGATTTCAGATGTCACTGCTCAATTGAAAGGAGGTAACAAGCGGAGCCTCGGATTTTTAGTCGAAGGCTGAAACTATGTGTCTGTATACAGCCATTGCCATCAGTCCATGAACCAAGGGTTCACACCAGAGTTCGCGTACATTCAGAATTTAAATTGGAACACCCTAGGAACATGCACGCTTCTCCCCCGGATTGTTGGAAGCTCAAAATATGCGCTTGCGGCCCCGTCCAGGCTGTGGCGTTGCTGGGCGGTCTGCAGCTGCGGCGGCTGCAGTGCAACGCCGTGGCTGGCAACGCGGGCGTCAGCGCCTGCCGCGGGGACCCTGGGACCCGGGACCCGGGCAACACGCGCGGTCTTATTGTCATGTCAGGTTAAATCGCCAATGGGCATGTGTCCAGGCGGGTCCAACCAAAATCGGTGGATTCCCTCTTGGTTTCCCTTCAAAACGAACCTGCAGTGGTTCTCCCCAAGTCAAATAAGGGACTCCAAAAAATGGGTGGATGGTTCACCTTCAAACCCATTCAAAAAAAGATCCACCAGATTTGGTCAACGCATTCAGTCTATGGTTCATTTGGGAGGGCATGGAGAACTAACCAGGTGTCTAGAAGCAAACACATGCGAATAACCGTAGTGATTTTCCAGGGGCCATGGAAACGCGGGCTTGGATAAATAGTAGATTGTTCGGTGTATTTTTGGTCAGTGGTCCGTTTTTCCATGAAGTGAGGTGTTTTCAGATGGAAGTTTAAAGGAATCATTTCTGAGGGGATGTGTGAAAAGCAGGGGCCCGTTTGAGGATGACTTGAATGGAAATACTAGTGAAACAGGATGAAACAGGTGTGTCAAAACGCGGAGATAGTCTCTCCATGAAAATCGATGTGACCATTGGAAGCGGCCAACTCGATCTGATTTCACACACTTTGACGCATAGAAAACACTTTGTGCAGATTCCTTGGGGCAATCACGACAATCATGAGCTCCCACGACTGTCTGGTTTGGAGTTCCTAAGTGCCCCTTTCTGTCCTCACCTCTTCCCGAGGCGAGCACTGGCCGCAGGCACTGCAGCAGCTTTTGCATGCTCGGGCGTTGCAGGTGGATGAGGTGCGGGAAGCAGTGTCATACGGCCGAACACGGTAGATGCAGTTTCTTAGGGTGTCCTTCTCAGTGAGCTGTATGTCTGACTTCCTGTCCGGGAAGTGTTGTGGCCTTGGAAATCCTGGAGTGGCAAAGCACTCCGTCGCTGATCAGGATGTGATCACGCTCAGCACGGTAGCCAGTGCCCATGAGAAGTGCCTGCAGTGGCGAGCAGCATTGGGGCTGCTGCCTGGGTTGAAGCGCGGGGGCTTGGAGGCCACAGTCATTTTGTACAACACCTTGGGCGCAGCAGCTCGCGGGCGCTGGTCAAGCGTGCTTTGCCTTCTGGCAGAGCTGCTGCATCAGGGCTTGCAGCCCACGGCGGTCTCGCTGAACTCGGCCCTCAGTGCTGACGTTTCCGCCGCATCCCTCAGCTCGTGGCGCCAGGGCCTCGTACTGCTGCGGTGTCTGACCGGCGTGCGGCGGACGGCGGTGACTTGCGGAGCGGCTGTGGGCGCTGTCGCGGGGGGGTGGCGCTGGGGCGCTCAGGTGCTGGTGGACTTCCGTGTGGCAGGCGTGCCGGGCAGTGCACGGGCCTATGGGGCGGCCATTGCGTCAAGCAAGGAATGGCAGCAGATTCTGCTCTTGTTGGAGCTGCTGGATGGAGAGTTTGGTGCCAATGTCATCGCCTATAATGCAGCCATCAGCGCCTGCGAGAAGGGCAAGAAATGGGAGCAGGCGCTGGGCTTGCTGCGAAGGCTCAAATTGGCAAAGCTGCAGGCGACCATTGTCAGCTATGGAGCCGCAATCAGCGCCTGCGAGAAGGGCAGGCAATGGAAGCTGGCGCTGCAATTGCTGGCGGAGCTGGGGGAGGTTCGGCTACAGGGAACCTTAGTGGTCCACAATGCGGCTCTGAGCGCCTGCGAGAAGTGTCAACAGTGGGAGCGCGCGCTGGTCCTGCTGCACAAGGGCCACCGCAGCACAGTTACCTGCAACGCCGGGATCAGCGCCTGCCCTTGGCAGCCTGCGCTGGCGCTCTTTGCCCGCTTTGAAGAGGAAAGCCTGCAGCGGACTGCGGTGACCTGCGGCGCCGCCATCAGCGCCTGCGAGGCCCGGCACTGGCACTTGGCCTTGGCGCTGGCTGCCGCCTGGGTGGGGGAGACCAGCTTGATTGCCCGCAATGCTGCCATCAGCGCCTGCCAGAAGGGTGGCCGATGGCGGCGCGCCCTACGACTGTTTGGCCTTCTCTCTCACGCAGCCCAGCCCAGTGTGGTGAGCTTCAACGCCGCGGTCAGCGCAGCTGGCGCCCGTGGCGCCAGCTGGCAAAAGGCGCTGCGGCTGCTGGCGGCACTCGATTCCTCGCTGCGCCCCACTGCCGTGACTGCATGCGCCGCGGTCGAGGCCTGTGCCGCTGGGGTCCAGTGGCGGTCAGCATTGCGGCTGCTGCGTTCCCACCGGCCCCACCTTGCCTCCTGTACAGCGGCCGCTGTTGCCTGCGAACGCCACCCCCCACAGCTCCAGCGCCTGGTGGCGGAGCTGGATGCGCTGCTGAAGCGTTTCTTCCGCGGCCACGCAAGAAACACATGCAGCTGTGGCTGAGCAGTCGGATGTTGTCAGATGACGCTGACATGCAGTGGTCTCTGGTCAATTTGAAAGGCACATTGCAGGACTTTCTAAGTTTCCCACCACCCCAGGGAACCACTACTTTTCCTACTTCCTTTGGGATATATAATCGCACATGTTGACCGTCGCTCATGTGTGGCATTCGACGTTTTTCGGCTCAAAGGGGCATGGCGCACAATGGCGCCAACACCTGAAGACGAGTCTTCAGCCAGTGGCCTCGGCTCCAAGGCAACCAGGTTCCACATCTAGGAGAGAGGTTTTGGATTTCCTCAACTTTTGCGGTTCTGATAAATTTGGGTGTTTTGCTCTCGCTTTTTCCTTTTGCAGACGTGCTTTCAACATTGCTGGGCCAGTTCCATCGCACGTCTGCAAGGCATTTCACCTTTCGGGACACAACCGCTGGTCAAGACCAACGATCAACAACGAGCGGATGTTCCGGTTTTTAAGCCTACGGGCTTGTGAGGTCTAAGGCCATTTGTATAAAGAGCAAACAGCAAACACACCTGCACTGGGTCACACTTTGCGAGTTGTAAGCACCACATGCCGAGCTGGAGTAATAACACCTGCCCGGCGTGGCGGCAATTCGTGTTCTTGAAGACCTGCATTGTAATACCAATTCCACCAGCCCAGCTAGGTGTTGAAGCGCTCCCTGCGTCACTGAGGTGTTGCCCGATCGGCCAGCCTTGCTGAACGAGAAGTTCAAGGCAGTTGTTCCGACTGGCGACTCGTGTTCCTTTCCGGGCGTCATTATGGTGCTTGCTGCCCTCCCAAGCGAGGGGCGTGCCGAATTCTGCGGAATTTGCCCAGGTCCACACGTACGATGGTGGTGCTTTTAAAAGCAAGGCGCAATATGACATCAAGCACGGCTCTTAGCCCAGGGCTGTCGTCCCCACGTCGTGTTGGGGAGGAGTTGTTGGTCGCGGAGATCCGAGGAATTCGCTGGTCCCCATAGTGGAGCCTTGTCATTGCTCCGGGAGTGGAACGAAGCAGCTGCCCTTAGAGAGAAGGGTTACCTGGAAGGAGAGAGGGAGACTCGAGTGATCAGTTAACCTGTACCATGCCTGGCATTAAACCTGTCCGAGGTTCAATCTGGTGCTCAAGTGCTCCGAGGATTTCACGCTGACCCACTTTTATGTGAGCGGCCGGCAGCCTGGAAGTGAGGTGAGGTGAGGTGAGTGTGGAGGTCTCACCTGGTGCTTGCCAATCTTGCTTGTGAGTTTGCCTTGGAATCCTCAACGGCAAGGCATTTACATGGGCAACTCCCTCGCCTCGCACATGCTTGGTCAACATCACTTCCTACACGAGTTCATGTCAAGCAATGGTTCACTTTCGAATTTGAAACTCATCCTTAGGGTCCTTCGGGGTCGGTGCAGGCCGCCCGCACTCCGCCCACAGGTCCTGGACCTCGATGTACGGAGCCCATCAAGAGCGGATTGGCCGCTGGCGCCATGTTAAGGGAGAGGGAGAGGGAGTGTCCACCCTTGGCGGAAGTTTGCTTGTCGCCCCTTTCGAATTTGAGGACTCCGAACCGTGCAGTTGGGGCCTTCAAACCTCGCGTCAAGTCTGGGCATTGCCGACCCTGGGCTTGCAGGTTTGCCCTGAAACAGGTAGTGCGCAGGGTAAGGACGTGCTTCAGGCAGCCGAAAGGCCCCAGTGACCTTGCCTTCCAGTAGAGCCCAAGCCAGGTTTGGGTGCTGGAGCAGGCCCCAGACGTGTGCGGCTCAGCGGGCCACAGCTTTTTTGGGCACACCAGGATATTTTTTGTGGATTTGACATGAACATGGGGTATTGGTACTTTCGGATGTTTCAGCTGATAATATGGCGGAATCCTTTGTGAATCCCAGGTTGAACGGCTGAAAAAGTACGACTCGATGTGCTCAGAGGAGCTCCTGGAGATAGTGAAAGGCGGCCCTTGGAGCACGCCGCCTCTTACTTGTTGAAACAAGCCCGCAGTTGTTTGGGATACGATGAGGCTCTGAGAGTGATTCTGTTTGGTTAGGGGCCTTGTTTGGTTTCGTTCTTGTTTGGTTGGTGACACCGAATGTGCCTTGCAGGACTACTTGTATTTGCTGCGTCTTATGTTTTGTAGCCGGCACGTCCGCATGTGGAGTCACCTCAGCACCAAACCGTTTGCACCTCGCGAGGCTTGAGGACCTATAGCTCCAGCGCCGGGCGCCCTACCCTGGGGCCCTGAATTCCGGATCCGGGCGATCGGCTGATGTGAAAAGCAGACTTATCCCGGGAGCTCACATGTACCGCATATACCGCATATACCTACATGTATTTCTTCAGTGTAGAATGCACTCAGGGGTGGTTTCCTTTGAAATTGCAAGCTGGCATGGTCCACACGGTTTATTTTGTAGTTGACCTGACTCAGGAACCTCCAAAAGCTCGCCAGCAACCCGAATCCCCAACATTGCCCAAGTAGCTGCAAAATGGGAAGCTAAGCAGCCAGTAGGTGACGTGTAAGATTCGGTTGGGCCAGGAGCAGGCTGGCAGCGTGCCAGACCCCTGCCTGTACTTCTCGCCGCGGGCCTCGGTGGCTTCCGGACCGGTCTGGACGTTGGTCGCTAAGGACAGACCCAACAACCAGAGAGGTTGAGCTGGAGCTGCCCAAATGGAGAGAGGGCAGATATGTAGCCTGGGCCCCGGTCAGTGCCATAATACCCTGCAAAGGGTCCCACGTTGCAACTGAATCCCGGGCATGGGCTCTGGAGTTTCTACTTTGCAGGGTGTGATTTGCCACAGACATGCCTGTCAAGATGGTGGCTTAGTTGTCTCGCAGGTGGTAAAATTTCTGGACACGCACAAGGATCAGCAAAACATCGATGCCACCTGCTAAGACCGATCTATCACTGCAGCTTCTTGATATGGCAAAAACCTCGCTAGGGCAGTCAGGGATCCCCTTGATCATTGACAGTGTCTATACACTTCAAGGCTCGAATCTGTGTCTTGGGGCTGAGGTTGGCATTGTCGGCATGATTGGCTACTTTGGAAGGCCTGCAGGGCCTTTTTCCCAACAAGGGTAAGAATGCGGTTCGCCGGATTGGGTTACGGAAGTCATTTGACACCCTTGCAACGTAGGCTTCCTGAAAGTAGACCCCACCCCCAAATTTTGAAAAACGCGTCAAGGTCAAGTCCAAGGCAGACATTGCCGAGCCCCTTTTGGGCAGGGTTGTTGGATCAAGGGGTTTCTCCCCACTTCTGTGATACAAGGGAATCCCCCTTTATATGAACACAATAGTTTTTTGGGAAGCCCTTTCCGTTGTATCACAGAAGTGGTCATTCCCCACAGCCCTGCTTTTGGATGTTGTTTGGCATTCCCTTGCTCTTTAGCAAGGCCTTGCTCGGCAGCGTGGCAGGCATGCCAAGAGACAAATCCCCTTGGGGCCGTGGATGCGGCGTAGCGCTGGGCCTCCAGAATGCCGGGGTCGGCGCATGGGCCAAGCGGTCGGCCCAGGTCCGCCAGGTCTGGGTGCACCCAAATGAGCTGAAGAGCATGCCGGGCGCCCAAGTGCCAAGTGCCACAGGGCTCAACGCCGTGTGTTTTGGCCAATCCGGCCTGAGGTTTTCCTCCAGCGGCTGGGTGTGTGATGGCCGGGATTTCACTGGTGGGTGCAGAAGCGGTCCGGGCCCACAGACGCCAAGAGGAGGCGCCATAAACTGGGCAATACTGTGCCAACGAAACCGCTGCCAAGGCCAGACAGACTTCCACCAGACCAACGTTGTGGCCTCAGCCATCGGAGCGGTGGCTCTTGTGGGCAAAGCCGGCGGGTTAGGTGTACACGGTGACCTTTCGCTGCACAACCAGCGGCTTCGACCTCTGCGAGAAGTGCGCACATGTGGGGTGCTCAGACTTGCCGAGTGTACAAGGGACCGCTTGGCTGTTTGAGGACCCCATGCTGGGCCGCGTCACTGACGAATCAATGCAGTCCGATCTGGAGGCAAGCCAACTGGAGAGAGTTGACTGCCGGGAGTGACCGATCGGCGAGCCGTGTCCGCCACACGCACGCCAGTCTCTCGCCGACCCGGCTCTCTGCAAGCTTGCGGCGCGGGCGCCCACCTCCACCACGCATCACCTTTGCTTCGCAGCTTCGCTGAAGTTCTCTGAGGCCACGCGCTTGCGGAACCTGTGGCGGCGCAATTGGGTGGAATCCCTGCCGCGGCGCGAACCTCAGCACGCAGACCGTTTCCGGGGGACTGAATGACGAGGGCTGCGTTCGGTCGAAGAACGAGCTCCTGGCTGGCTCCAGTTGTTTGTGCCGCGGGAGTTTTAAAGTATCCAAAAGTGTCTAATCGCCATCAGCTGGAATCAGACCTTAAGATATTAAGAAAGGTGCTGCCATGCGAATCATGCGCGCAAGCCTGGAGGTATTTTGCAGCTGGGCTTCTGGACCAGTTGGCCCGGGCCTCCAAAGAAACAGCTGGGTGTGCAGCTCAAACTGCAGCTCAGGTGCAGGCGCTAAAAAGCACAGAGACTCAGCGAGAAGAGGAGAGGGTGCGGGCCCAAGTACTGGAGGGATGGGGGTCTGCAGTTGTGTTTGCGTCTTGCGTTCTGGCTGGCAATGCGAATTTGGTGCTCATGTTGCCTGCCCTGCAGCCATTTGAGGCTCATCCTAGCCTCATGGCCCGCAACTCACGCGACTTTATTAGATCCGCTTAAGGAACCCTTGCCATGCGCCTTTGGTGCACGGCTCTGCTCGTATCTCTCTGTGCCTGCCTGAGCCTTGGGTTAGGCCTTGGCCCTTGGTCCCGTGCTGCTCCCCAAAATGTACCTCATCTCTTCTTCTTTGGGGGAGAAGCGTCCACTGCCCAGAGGTCAAATGGGCTCGCATTCTCGGGTGGGCACGAGGCCATGCCTGCGAGGACTGCCCAATCCAGGATGCGCAGAGAGTGCGCGCTGCACCCTGGCCGCAATACGTCCTTTGTCCAAAGGATGTGCAATCCTGTAGCGGGGCCCGTTGTCATGTAGAACATGTTCGAGTGCTTGGAGTTTACGAGGCCCCCTCGCTGCTGACGGTGAGCCAGCGGCTGCAAAGGACCGGATGGCAGGTTTTGAGCAGCAGTGTTCTTGCCAACTTGACATGTGCCCAGTCTTTGGCCTTGGGCTAGTAGAGCTTCCGTCACGTGGATGCCCGCAGGGGTGGCAAGCTGCGCGGTGACTAGGTCCGGACGGGGCTGGGATCGGGAGGGTCAGTTGCAGGACACACGGGAGGAATGCAACCAAGAAGCCACCTGGTAGCAGCTGTCATGCTTAAGTTGCTGATTCGGCTTGGGCGGTTGGTTGCGAGCCAAGGCGAGACCAGAAGCCCGAGTCCAATGATGACCTGGCAACTGGGACCCAACCTGGCGCAGAGGGCATGTGCGGCGTGCGTCCAATGATGGAATCAGGCTGCCACATTGGAGGACGCCCTGCAGTGGGAGATCCGCCAGTTGGAGAAGTCTTTGGGTGAGAAGGGCACCGCGGCAGTAACTCTGAGCCTCCGTGCGCTTGGGGGGCGTTTGGGGCCGAGGCGAGCAGATAGGCACTCAGCCCAGCAGGGTCCTGGTCTCAGTGGTGGATTTGGGGGTTTCGGTTGCGGCTGTTCGGCGTCAGATTCAGATGTCTTCAGGTCATGGGCGTGGCCATCAACGGCAAGGACGACATGCGCACGCTGAAGGGTGCCCTCAGCATCGGCAGCGTGGGCGTGCTGGCCGTCTTCCTGGCGCCTCGGCGGGTCGGGTTTCAGAAACCGCGGTGCAAGCCTCAACAAGAGGTTCTCTTGAAAAGCCTCACTAGGCTCCCAGAAACAAGCCCGAATGGGAACCTGTCTGCAAATCACTGATTGTCCACAGATGTTGTCGGCATTGAAGGTATTCTCCGTGATGCGGAAGCTGGTGCCCTGGGTGTACATCCGTGAGGCGCCTTGTCAGATGGCCTTGAACAACACATGGCTGCAAAGGGTTCCTGTCTGAAAGGCCACCACCACACACGAAGTTTGACCACGCGTGCTCACACACCAAACATGCTTGGGACCCCTTCCAAGCGATCATGATGTTCGTTTGTTTTCCCCTGGCTTCTCCCTTCACCAAGGACAGGGAGACCCCTCATTTGCTACCTTGTATGCTGCCTTTCAACATCCACACCTTTCTGACCATAAAAGACAACAGAGGAGATTTATTGCCTTGTTCCCCCGCTACTGGCGATATGTGCCATGGTCAGAGCACTGGTGATGGGACAGTTAGTCGTTCTTTCCCACGTTTTCACGTCATGACCACGCCCAGCACACACACACACACACAAGTGGGTCACAAGAAGGGTGGACGGTCATTTGAGCTCAAATGACCACAAGGTGCTGCATTTCACCTTCCGCGGTTGCCAGGCGGACTTGGAGCTTGAGCCGCTTGAGGAGGCCACCGCCGCCTCCCCCACCACCGCGCCCAGGTGGGGTAGGGGGAGTCTCGGGACAGGGCTTGGAGATGGTGCAGGGTAGGCCTGGAGGTGCCGCTAGTGCCAGGGATTGGGGGAGCCAAGGCGCTTCAGAGATCCGCAGCCTGGCTGGCCACATGGGCGCCAGGGCCATTCTGCTTCTGCTCATATGGTGATTTTGGGCTGGGCATGGGTTGGGCTTGCAGAGTCCTTGAATTTCAGATAGTTTGGGACAGAGCAATGCTCACTGCTCGTCATTTTATCGCTGCAAAGGGGGTTTCGTGAGTCGCGCTCACGAAGTTGCCATTCATGCATGGGGTCAATCAGCCACCATCGGCTGAAGTACATCTGCGGTGACCCGTGGTGCATCAGGTGTCCCTTGCGAGAAACCATCGATGTCAAGTGTGTTAAATGCTTCGCAGCCAAGGCACGTCACCCTCTTCGACTGGGTCACCAAAGTCTGGCAGACCACACCAGAAGACGAGGCCTGGGGTCTGGGATGCTGACAGGTGATCAAGGTATTGCTGCAAGGCCACCCACCAAAGGGACAACCTTCAGACGGGTCGTGACTTTTGAAGGTCCGCAGGTTGCTGACCCGCAGAGTTTGTGGTTGCCAAAGGGGGGCCACCGGTAGGTGCCCACACACACAGTGAATTGCACAGGATGCAGGTGATGCAGCATAGGTGAGTTTTGAAGGCCAGCGTGTTGCTGACCTGGAGAGTTTGTGGCTGCCAAAGGGGGCTACCGTGAGGCGCCCACAGACACCGTGAATTGCACATGATGTGGGTGATGCAGCGTCGGGTGACTTTTGAAGGCCTGCAGGTTGCTGACCTGCCCAACTACAAATGTCGTCCCTTCGCATCCCCAGCATCACTACTGGCGCCTAATGTTACATTTGACATCCATGGGCAATATTGATAATGCAAATGATGATCACGATGGTGATGATAATGATGATGATAAGGATGACTTTCATGATGACGATGATGATGATAATGACGATGCTGATTCTGATGTACCATCGGGTGACCTCTGAAGGCCTGCGGGTTGCTGGCTCTTACCAATTGGACATGATGCAGGTGATGCGCTGTTGGAAGGTTGGTGAGGCAAGTGATGTGGGTGAAGCAGCGATCCTGAATTGCAGCCTGCTGACCCGCAGAGTTTGTGGCTGTCGCCAAACGGATAAGCATAATGACACCAGCATTCAGACATGTTGCAGTTGATGCAGCGTGATGAGGTTTTGAATGGGCCATTCAGAGACCCCAATCAAAGGCCTGCAGGCCGTTGACCTGCAGAGTTTGGGTCCGCCACTGGGAGCGTCATCATCAACCCCACTACTTAAAGCGGAGATTCGGGTTGCCAAATGGAGCATTACGAAGGCACCACGGATTTGAATGATAGCCATCACACCATGACCTTGCTCTGTTTGCATTTCTGGATTGTGCTGTGTGGCCGCGCGGATACCAGGTTGTCCCCTCCCCCCTTACCTAACCTCTCCGCATTGGCACGGCCAGCTTGCGCAAGCTGGGCTCGATGGCTGGGCATTCCTGGAATTCCGGCGGCTGATCTGGCGGATCTTCTCTGTGATAGGCAGGACGCGGGGAGTTAAAGCTGACATGTAAATTTATGGGCTTCCAGGCTGGCCATGGAAGCCTTTTTTTTCTTCTTTTTTCTCCTCCTCCTCCGACCACGCATGGATTTCAGTAAGGAACCTGATGTACATACTGTCCACGAAAGGGTCCTCGTTTCGGATGCATGCCCATGTCACCCATGCCTCGCCGGTATCATGATTGGAAAGAAGCCAGCCGGCCGGGCAGTGGACCTTTCTGGGTAGGTCCAGTGCTGGTTGCAGTGCTGCTTCCGCTGCACTACCAGGCAGGGCCATCCACAAAAAGCACAGAAAGTGCCCAAGCTGGGGACGTTTCATTTTGCTACCAATTTGAGCGCTTTGTGAGCCCTTGAGGCACACCAAGGGTCAGACATGGACCTGGACATCCTAAGCCAGCTGGACATTGGGCGGGATCCCCTGCCGGACTGGATGCTTTGGGCCCCAGCCTCAAGCCGCATGCGAGCTGCCAGGGTGCGTAGGAGGTGATGAATCGGCGATGAAGGATGAAGCGGGCTTTCGGCGATATGTGAAGGGTGTGGCTGAAGCTGCAGGTGCACGCGATCATGGTGTGGTTCGTGGTGTGCGTCAGCTCCTGGACCGTCGCTGTGGCGCAGGCGATTGGACTGGCCCAAGTTACTCATTCTTGCAGTTGCCGCCGTATTCTGACCATGTTCTGTGATTCACGCGCATGTGGCAAATGGGCGAGGGAATGGCCGTACTTTTCTGGGCTATGCGTAGGAGCACTTCACTGAGCGCCGGTACCAGTGGTTGAAGGAGATCCCCTTCCCCCGCGCGAACACCATTCTGGTCAGGAGCGCTGCCAAAACCAACAGCTGGAGCTTTGTTTGCCCAAGCTGCGAAAGGAACATCCCGCCCATGTACCGCTCGGACAGCGCACTGGAGCAGTACTTTGCGAATGTCTTCAATGACAAAATTGTAGAGGAAGCCTTCATCGTGAGGCGAACAGGCAGGTGCTCAGCATCTCGAGCAGCCTGTGAAGCAAGCAACCAACCAGAGCCCAAATTGCCAATCCGCCTAAGTTTGACTCGCAGATGAATCTACCAATTTTTGACCACCCATCCAGGCCACCGAGTGAGACTTCCAAGACAAACTGCCACTGCGCCAGTAGTTTGAATCAGCTAGATGTACCAGTTTCGATATTTCATGGTTGTGTGGAAGGTGTCACCAACAAGAGAGATGTCGTGGCATCGTTGTGAGCGACCAGTGCAGAAGGGACATGCTGCCCAAGCGCGAACTCTGGAAAAGCAGCCTCACCTGATGCGCAGGTCGCCTTCCACACCAGGCAGGATCAGGGCGCGATCTTGACCCCATTGGGGCCTGCTCCGCCTTTCAACATGGTTCCGATGGTTGCGGAAAGGGAGAAGATCGCAATTTAAAGGTTCCAATGAGAGAGAGAGAGAGAGAGAAACAATAGTGGATTTCCTCTTGTCCTGCCCCAAGCCCGGCCGAACTACAAAGC